CTGTTTCATCTTCAGTCCTGCTCCATTTGGGAACAGAAACAGACTTTCTTGGGTCTCAGTGGGAAGTGACATCAAGGGCCAAAAACTACTCCTGGGCAAACTCCTGTCACTTTGATGCACAAATACAAGACAGGCTGGGGCAGGAAAGATGCTCTTTAGGTCTCAGTGACTTAGAGAGGGAGATAAAAGGAAGCAGACGACAGGAACTGTTATTTCAGTCTCTGCAAGCCTGGGAAGTCGCTGTTTGTTGTTTATACAATCTCAGTGCTGAGCAAGTGTGTCCCACAAATACTTGAGGCTTAGTCATTGCTACATACTCACCACATTCTGAGTACAAGTTGGAATAAAACGATAAGAAGGTGGATGTTTCGTTTTGAACCACATTTGAACCCACAAGCCATTTGTGAGTTAAAATGTCACTAAAGTGAGGCTGAAAATGTGGCTCTCTGCCGTTAAGTGTACTGACGGCTTTTCCAGAGGATCAGGATTCAATTCCCACCACCCACCTGGTGGTGGCTGACAATCATCTGTAACTCCACTTTCAGGGGCTCTGATACCTCTTTTCACCCCATGGGCAATGCATGCAGATGGTTTACAGATATAATGCAGGCAAAACACCCATAAACACAGACTAAAACAAATCTTTACAATATATATAACTCTGGTTTCCTGTGTGAATTACACTGGATAGTACTGAGGAAGAATTCTCATGGGAAGTTACACAGGGAACCAAGAACCTGTCTTTTGTCCCATACAATTGTCTATATTGCCTATGTCAGTACCTCTGTGAAAAGAGGCCCTGTGATGATTTGAAGAAAATGGCCCCCAAAGGGAGCAGCACTATTAGGAGGTGTGGCCTTGTTGGAGTAGGTATGGTCTTGTTGGAGGAAGTGTGTCTCTGTGGAGGTGGGCTTTGAGGTCTCATATATGCTCAAGATACCGCCCAGTGTCTCAGTTTACTTCCTGTTGCCTTTGGATCAAGATGTATAATTCTCCAGTGCCATGACTGCCTGCGTGCCATCATACTCCCAATTGCCATGCTCCCTGCCATGCTGATAGTGGACTAAACTTCTGAAACTGTAAGCTGTCACCTCAATTAAGTGTTTTCCTTTATAAGAGTTGCTGTGGTCATGGTGTCCCATCATAGAAACCTTAACTGAGACAGGCCCTTTACTGTTGTTAGGAAACCCACCATGGAAATCTCCCATGTGGAGTTTTTAATTCCTTTTGGTACAACACAGTGAAGCACAGCTGACTGTTTTAAACCTTTTGTTTGTTTGTTTTGAAAAAGCAATACTGAAAGCCACTTACAATTTCTTAAGCACTGTACATAGAAGAATGTGGGAAGTCATCTTTCTTAAAGTCTCATCTCTCAAAAAATAGCTGGTGTGATCAGCCTGGCACCCATCCTTCCAGATATTCTATATACACATGCACTCTTCTTAAGGCAGTATTAAGTAATTAAACAATTAATTGGTTTAATTTTGAAACAGGGTCCTATCGATCCCAGGCTGATCTCAAACATGCTATGTTAGCAGAGAATGACCTCTACCTGTGTTTCCCGAGTGTTGGGATTACAGGTGTGAACCACCACACCTAGGTTTACTCAGTGTAATACTTAGGACCAAGGTGTGTGCTAGGCAGGCATTCTCCCAGCTGAGCTACACATGCACCCTGGAAGGCGATCTTTTAAAATAAAAGCCTTCCATGTATCAAATGAGAAGGAATGAAAGGTGTATTTTGAAAACTAAGTTGTATTTTCTTCTGTGTAAGTGGGGTAAAAACTGAGCATAAATCAGGAAGATTTGTGCTTTTACATGTCAATGTTTAACAGAGATGTTAATTTTTTGTTTGAGTCCATAAAATAAAAACTGTGGTGACATACAAAAGCTACGACATTTTCCTTGTTAGTTAGAAAAATGTCTGTTCTCACATACATGTACTTTTTTTGTTTTCAAGACAAGGTTTCTCTGTAGCTTTGGAGCCTGTCCTGGAACTAGCTCTGTAGACCAGGCTGACTTTGAACTCACAGAGATCCTCCTGCCTCTATCTCCTGAGTGCTGGGATTGAAGGCATGCACCACCACACCTGGCACATGTACATGTTTTAATATTTACATTTTACTTGTGTGTTTGTGTGTGTGTGGTGTATGAGTGTGTGAGTGTGTGTGGTGTGAATGTGTGTGTGGTTTGAGTGTGTGTGAGTGTGTGGTGTGAATTGTGTGTGTGGTGTGAATGTGTGTGGTGTGAGTGTGTGTGGTGTGAGTGTGTGTGAGTGTGTGTGGTGTGAATTGTGTGTGTGGTGTGAATGTGTGTGGTGTGAGTGTGTGTGAGTGTGTGTGGTGTGAATGTGTGTGTGGTTTGAGTGTGTGTGAGTGTGTGGTGTGAATTGTGTGTGTGGTGTGAATGTGTGTGGTGTGAGTGTGTGTGGTGTGAGTGTGTGTGAGTGTGTGTGGTGTGAATTGTGTGTGTGGTGTGAGTGTGTGTGAGTGTGTGTGGTGTGAATGTGTGTGGTGTGGTGTGTGTGTGTGGTGTGAATGTGTGTGGTGTGAGTGTGTGTGTGAGTGTGTGGTGTGAATTGTGTGTGTGTGGTGTGAATGTGTGTGGTGTGGTGTGAATGTGTGTGTGGTTTGAGTGTGTGTGAGTGTGTGGTGTGAATTGTGTGTGTGGTGTGAATGTGTGTGGTGTGAGTGTGTGTGAGTGTGTGTGGTGTGAATTGTGTGTGTGGTGTGAATGTGTGTGGTGTGAGTGTGTGTGAGTGTGTGTGGTGTGAATGTGTGTGGTGTGGTGTGTGTGTGTGTGGTGTGAATTGTGTGTGTGTGGTGTGGTGTGTGTGTGGTGTGAATTGTGTGTGTGAGTGTGTGGTGTGAATTGTGTGTGTGGTGTGAATGTGTGTGTGGTGTGAGAGTATGTGTGTGTGGTGTGAATTGTGTGTGTGTGTGTTGTGCATGGGTGTGCTGGACTGCACAAGTGAAGGTCAGAGAACAGCTTGCAAGAGTTCATTCTTTCCCTCTACCACATGGGCTCTGGCTATCAGGATTGGTGGTAAATACCTTTACCCATTGAGCCATCTTGCTAGCCCTATTTGTGTATTCATATCTCCATATTTGGGGAATTTATCTTTCATTCACTCTAGGTAAGATTTTCATACTGGAGGATACTTAGAAATCCAATCTTCTCTTGAAATGTAAAATACTCATGCCTAGAGAAGTTAAATACTGGCAATATACTGTAATTTGTAAGAAAGTCGTTGAAATTTTAGGGTCTCTTCTGGCACACTAATGCATTTTTCAGAATCCTCATTCCAGGGAGTCCTCATTCATCATTTTTATAAGTGAACAAATGTACATTGAGGTGCCAGTTCTCTTCCGTATGAAAACAGCTACAACAGGATACAGAGGAACCTACACTTCCTCCTATCCCAATGAGGTAACGATTTAGTGCTTCACCAAGATGTGTAGTTTTAAAAGTCCCGAGGGTACAGAGTAGCTTGGGAACACAACATGGCCGTCAAGATCTAAGAGCTGTGGTAAAACTTTGGCTGTGTCACCATAACAGTTATAAAGGAAAAGAAAATTTCAGCCAGCATATGCCAAGTGCCATATGGGAAGTACAGGTAGAGGCAATAAACAGTTACAGAAGTGGGGATGGGTGGGTCAGTTGCCCTAGTACAGGAAGTAGAAATGAATCTGAGTTACCAGAGACAACAGAAAATATTTAACTAGTAAAAGCACCTGTGATTAAGTGCACTTAATGGCCTACCATTCTGGTTGCCAGACAGAACTTTCATCAGCAGGGGTATGGAAGCACTGCTGAGTCTTCTCACATCAGGAGGCACAGATATCCATGGTTTCTAAAGGCTATCCTTTTGTGGGGGGAGGAGGAGAGGGAGGGGAGAGGGCATTGAAACAGCATCAAGCAGTCCTAGAACTCACTCTGTAGACCAGGCTGGCCTCGAACTCATGGAGATCTGCCTGTCTCTGCCTCCCAAGTACTGGCATTAAAGGCATGTAGGCCCAGCTCTAAATTTGCATTTTAGAAATTCCATTTTGTCTGTTATAACTGTATATGCTGGTTTGAATGAGAATGGCCCTCGTAGGTTCATAGGTTTGAATACTTGGTTCCTAGTTGGTAGAACAGTCTGGAAAGGTTTAGGAGATGTGGCATTATTGAAGGAGATGTGTCACTGTGGGCAGACTTTAAGGTTTCAAAAGACTTTGTACATACCCATTGTGCTCTCTACCTCCTGGTTGTGGATCTAGATAGGGGCTCTTGGGGCTGGAGAGATGTCTCAATGTTACAAACACTAGTTCTCTCAGAGGACTTGGATTGGATTCCCAGCATCCACATGACAGCCCACAACTCTTTGTAACTCTTCAGTCCCAAGGAATCTGACACCGTCTCTGGCTTCTGAGGGCACTGCATGCTTATGGTGGCACATGCCTTTAATTTCAGCACTCAGGAGGCACAGGCAGGCAGATCTGTATGAGTTCAAGGCCAGCCTAGTCAACAATGCAAGTTCCAGGAGAGCCGAGGCTACACAGAGAAACCCTGTCTAAAAAAGAAGATACAACAACAAAAAATATAGAATCAGATTTTATGAAAATTGAGAATTAAGGACTATTTGGCAGAAAGTACATCAAAATTTACCCAATAGTGCCCTGCCCATGGAGTTCCCAGAAGCCTGTGGCACAGTGGCTAGCACAAACCATCAATTTGGCCTTGCATTTGTAGACAAAACTGACACCCCAGAAGCTCCAGCTAAATCCCCTTGTCTACATCTTCTGGGAAGAGCGAGCACTTGCTAGCAGAAGCTTGTGTCTGCACAACAGTGGGAAGTGGGTGGTGCTCTAGGGGAGTCATTGAGGATGAGCTGATGTCCACACTCATTCCACATTCATGAGCACAAACTAAAACCTGGGCATCCCTGGGTGGGAACTGCATCCTTCTAGGTCCAAGTCTCACCCACATCTCCTCATCCTGTCTCCTGATTGTCTTCAGCCTGGGGCCAGCAGATGCAGATGCTCAATGTCATGCCCATGTTTCTGTCTCCAGATTTCACTGGAAGTGTGAACATCACTACTCCAGAGCAGACAATTCAGGAAGCCCAAGGGGGAACTGTCCACCTGCCCTGCATGTTCGCCCTTGGCCCCGAGGACCAAGGACCACTGGATGTTGAGTGGCTTCGGCTTTCAGGACCTAATAATGAGGAGGTAGACCGTGTGGTGAGTGTGCCCTGTGTCTGCTCAGTCTCACGAGGCAGATGTGGTATGGTGGCTGGAAGCCCGACTGCCCAGGCTTGTGAACATGGATACAATGACTGGAGATTTCAGGAAGGAGGGGCCATTGGATTTGTCCAAGGCTTCAGGGGACAAAAGGGTGTGGAAGTGCCATAGTCACTAGACTGTAAGAAGTGAGATCTATGTCCTCTGTCTTTGTCACTCTTGTCTCCTTCCATTCTACTGTGTTCCCAGCCTGGTCTCAAAGTCCAGGCCAGTCATCCTCCTACTTGGACCCCCCTTCTGGTCTACAAGTCACCTCACTACACCTGGCCCGGGTAGGAGTCTAAGATTTACACGAGGCTCCCATAACCAGCAAAGGGTCACGAGATGATGTACACAGTACCATGATTGTCTGCATTACCACAGTCTGTTCTCCTCGGTTCAGGTTACTTCTCCTGTGCAGTTACTTTCTTAAAAAGCCAAGGGAAAGCTGAACATGGTGGCACAGGCCTGCAACCCTTCTCTGTGTAGGTAGGCTGAGGCAGGAGGTTTGAGAGTTTGAGGCCAGCTTGGGCTACATAGCAAAGTCCATGCCAGCCTGAGATGCATAGTAAGACCCTATAACAAAACAACAAATAAGCAGAATTTTAAAGCCTGTAAAATGTCAGTGTTAAATTATAGAAATCATATGAAAATATTGTTGTAGATGTTTTTCTCATCGAAGTGATCAGAGCCAGATGAAGAACACTGGAAAGTCAAAGCTAGCTCTGAGGAGGAGGCACACCCAAAGATCACATCCGTGTCCAAGGACTGGCTCACACTTGTGTTTTGGATGGCTCTTTAGTATTTTATTTTATTTAGAATGTTTCATGTCAGCTTCATCTAACATACTTACTTAAAGAACGAATCAGTGTTGGACTCATGGGGATGGCTCATGGGGCTCATGGGGAAAGAGGGCTTGCTATACAAACATGAGAACCTGAACTCGCATCCCTAGCACCCACGTAGAAAGCTGTGTGGAAATGTTTGCCTATAACAAAAGCACTGGGGAGGGGAGGGAATAAGAGGATCATGGAGGCCTGCTGGTTTCTATCTCGGCTGGTTCAATGAGAGACCTTCTTGTGATGGATAGTTTAACATCAACTTGATACAACTACAGTCATTCATTTGGAGAGGAGGGAACCTTAATTAATTAAAAAAAAAGTTTCCATAAGATCAGGCTGTGGGCATGCCTGTAGGGCATTTTCTTAATTAGTGATCAATGGGGGAGGGCCCAACCCATTGTGGGTGGTGCCACACCTGGCATTGTGGTCCTGGGTTCTATAAGAAAGCAGGCTGAGCCAGCCATGAGGAGCAAGGCAGTAAGCAGCATCCCTCTGTGGCTCTGCATCAGCTCCTGCCTCCAGGTTTCTGCCCTGACTTCTTTTGATGATGAACAGTGATGATGAAGCATAAGCCAAATAAACCCTTTCCTCCCCAACTTGCTTCTCATGGTGTTTAACACAGCAATAGAAACCCTGACTAAGACACTTGTCTCAAGAAAATAAGGTAGTGTGTGATAGTGATGGACATCCATTGCTCTCTGCTTTCCTCTGCAGACCCACAGGCCCATATTACCACACACACACATACTCTCTCTCTCTCTCCCTCCCCCCCAAACAAATAAACAAACATAAAGCATTAAGGGCAAAAAAGTAATGCTAAGAACTTATATTAGCCTAGGGAAAGGAAGCAAATGAAAATATAATAATACGTATTGGATATATGTTTTAGAGTGTGTGCATCCTCAGTACCAGCATCCACCCCAGGCCCCTCTATCCCTGCTCGCCCTTGCCAGGGCCATAACATTCCATTACCATTCAAGACTCTCATGTGGTTGCCCTGTGGATAAACGCTGGGGTGGACATAGGTAAAGAGTCCACACCTTCAGTGCTATTGGCTGACACTGGGGTTGAGTGAAGAGGTTGTGCTGAGAAAATGGCTTAGATGAAACCGCTGCTCCTCAAGGGAGCCAGCTGTGGACCCCTGACTGCTACTGCTAAGTGCTTAGCTTCCAACATGCAGATGAAGATGAATGGAGAGCTCCAGGGAGTCCTGGGAGAGCATCAGCCAGCTAGGGGACACACAATACAGAAATGGACTGCTGGCCCCCTTGGCTCTATAGGTTCCCACAGAGCACAGCTGGGATGCCAGTTACTCTGTGTGCTGCTCTTCATCAGAGTTAAAGGTTCATCTGAAGTTGCCTGGTCTGGCAGTGTTCATTCGTGATAATTATGAGCCGGGCACTGCTGTGACAGGTCTTGTGGCATGTGACAATCGTAAGATGTGTTAAACCAATTTTTAAGAGATTCTCAAGGTGATTACTACAAATCTTTCCCAACTGAAATTTAACACAGTTTGTTGCCTTCTACATATCTTTCCAAAGCCTGTGAAAGCCTGAAAATTCACTAGCTTTAGGGTCATGCTTTAGACATAGAAAGAAGCCCTGGAATAAGGCTGATTTTTCTGTTTGTTTTAAAGATTTTTACAGCTATTTAAAGCATTTGTGTGTTTTGTTATTTTTTTCCTATTAGCATTTATGAATTGTATGTACATAAGCAGTATTTTTAAAGATTTGTTTTTATATTTTATTTTACAATGTTTTACAATATATCCTATATTATTATATTTATTATTATGTTTTATGGTATTTATATATATGTTTTGCCTGCGTGTATGTAATGCACCATTTGTGTGCATTGCCTACAGAGGCCAGAAGAAGACATTGGATCTAATGGAAGTGGAGTTACAAATGGTTGTCAGCCACCAGGTGGATGCTGGGAATTGAACCCGGGTTCTCTAGAAGAGCGGGTGCTCTTAACCTCCAGCTCAGTAGTGTGTGTGTGTATATACCTTAGTTTATTAAGACAATGATTCACTCTATAGTTCAGCTCATGACCAGGCTTCAGTATTTCTAGTTCCTGGAACTACAGGTGTGTCCCATCATGCCTGGCTCCCAATTATGTATCCAGACAGAAAAAAAAAACCTTTTTTTTCTAATTAGATCCCACAGGTAAATGATGATCAGTGTTCTTGGGAAGCAATGGAGTGGTATGTTGTTGTTGGTTACTTGGTGATGGACTGCGGCCTCTGAGGCAGCTGACAGAACGGGAGCAGACAGGGATGAATCAGGATGTGTTCCTGTCCAGCCTCACCAAACCCTTCCCTATCAGGTTATGCTGGTTATTGCCATGTCCAGCCTCCTGTTCTCTGTTTAAAATGAGAGTGTGTGGTTACGAGGATCACGCAGGTGACCTTCTACTTTGTCGTTCGTTCTGTGCTTTGAATATCTAGGTTTTCTCATCCTGCCTACACCTACCTCTCTCATTCTTCTCCCGGTGTCCATTAGTCCTCCCTCCCTCCCTGCCTTCCTTCTGTTCTTCCATCCTTCCTCCTTCCTTTCTTCCGTCCCTCCCTTCCTTCCTCCCTTCCCGCCTTCCTTCTGTCCTTCGGTACTTCCTTCTTCCTTGCTTCCTTTCTTCCTTCTTCCTTCCTCCTTCCTTTCTTCCTTCCTTCCTTCCTTTCTATGTTCATTCTATGGCAGCATGGTTTTGTTTATTTTCTTTTCTGTTTTGGCTTATTTTTCCCCTTGTTTTTGATTGCTTTCAGATTCTTTTGTATACTGTAGATAAAATTTATTCTGACTTCTACTATGATCTGAAAGGACGAGTAAATTTTACAACTGATCATATTGTGTCTGGTGATGCCTCCATAAAGATAAGACATGCTCGGCCTTCAGAGAGTGGCACCTACCAGTGCAAAGTGAAAAAAGCCCCTGGTGTTGCCAAGACAACCATCAAGTTGACAGTTGTTGGTAAGTCACTGTTGTTGCTAGAGAGTAACAGGGTGAAAGGTCACAGTACTAAAGTCACAACATTTATGAAAGACAAATGTAGCTTGTACAGTAATAATTATATCTATCTATCTATAGATAAATATTTATTTTCAATATCCTGGGGGTAAAACACGGGGCCTCATGCTTAGTAGGAAAGGGCTCTGCCACAGAGCCACACTCTTAGCCTAGAGTGATAATTTTAAACTTGTGAAGGATGCCTAATGTCCTCATATACCATAAAATGACAAGCTATAACATTTTTACATAAGAAAAATAAAAAGTCAGGCAGTGGTGGTGCATGATTTAATCCTAGCCCTCAGAAGGCAGAGGCAGGCAGATCTCTGTGAGTTTGAGGCCAGCCTGGTTTACAATGTGAGTTCCAGGACAGAGGGGGCTGTTACACAGAGAAACCTGTCTTGGGAAAAAAAGAAGAAAAGAAAAAAAATACTTTCTGTGCAAAATTATTGGAGATTTTCAAAATAAATTAAGTCTTGTTGGGTGGGAAATAACCCTGATCTTGGACTCGGGAGAGCTGCATCATCGTCATTGTTACTGTAGTTTTGGGTTTGGTTTTCTGAGTTTACCCAGAGAATTAAATTTCTACATTTCCTCTGGCCTCAGTCTACTCTGCATGTATGGAAACATGGAGTAGGAAAGCTGTAATCGTCAGTGTACCTGTCAGTCACCCCTCAGAGCTGCACGTGAGCACGCTGAGCTTTTGCTTTCACTGCACATGGACTAATGAGGTTTCTTGGTATTTAGGATGCTGGGGATGGAAAGTGAGTGTGTGTGTGTGAGAGAGAGAGAGAGAGACTGTGTGTGAGAGAGAGTGTGTGTGTGTGTGAGAGAGAGAGAGAGTGTATGTGAGTGTGTATGTATGTGTGAGTGTGTGTGTATTCGTGAGTGTGTGTATTGTGAGTGTATGTATGTGTGAGTGTGTGTATGTGTGTGTATGACTGTGTGTGAGAGAGTGTGTGTGAGTGTGTGTATGTGACTGTGTATGTGTGAGTGTGTGGTGTGTGTGTATGCGTGAGTGTGTATATTGTGCGTGTGTGTATGTGTGAGTGTGTATGTGTGAGCATGTGTGTGTATGTGTGTATGAATGTGTGTGAGTATAAGTGTGTGAGAGTGTGTGTATGTGTGTGTATGTATGAGTGTGTGTGTGAGTGTAAATATATGTATGAGTGTGTGTGTGACTGTGTGTGTGAGTGTGTGTGTATGCATGAGTGTGTGTATTGTGCATGTGTGTATGTGTATGTGTATATGAGTATGTGTGAGTGTGTGGATGTGTGCATATGTGTGAATGTGTTATGTGTGAGTGTGTGTATGTGTGAGCGTGTGTGTGTATGTGTGTATGTATGAGTGTGTGTATATGTATGAGTATGTGTGTGTGACTGTGTGTGTGTGTGTGTGTGTTTGAGTGTGTGTATGTATGTGTGTGGGGGGGTTCAGCTCGTGGCCAAACTTACATGGAAGTTCCTTTACCTACTGAACCACTGTGCCACCATTAGATGCAAATGTTACAGCATACAAATCTTAGGGTAACTTGTGATCATTTAAAATGCCTTCTCAAAACTACTAAAATAAATTTGATTAAACTTTTTAGAAAGGAACTGTGAAGGAAGGTGAAATAAGAAATGTCTTAAACATAATGCCAAGGGCAATCACTTAGTGAATTTATATATGTGCAGTGTTAGAATGAGACTGTCCACCACTCAGCCTGGCTCCCAGTTGCTGGCACTATTGGGTAAATTTAGGGTGTGGCCTTGTTGGAGGAAGCATGTCATTGAGGGCAGATCTGAGGCAAAAACACCATGCTATTCACACTGTACACTCTGCCTCCTGCTTCCTATCCATGATAGGAGTTCTCAGCATGCTGTGCCAGCTGCCAGTGCAAGTTGCCATGGCAGCCATTCCCCTCACCCTCCTAGAACTGTAAGCCCAAATAAGTACCTTCCTTCTACAAGTTGCCTTGATCAAAGAGTCTTACCAAAGACAATTGAAAAGAACCTAATACTGTATATGAGAAACTTGGAAGTGATTCTTTATAAATTGCCCTCAACAAAGTTTGTTGCACTGAAATAATTTTCACCATTCAGGGTTAAGAATGTAGCCCATTGTAGACTGGTTGCCGGATATAAATAGACCTTGGCTTCAATTCTCAGTACCACTGCCACCTGAGTATCAACAAAAATGATCAGATTTCATGAAAATTTAGAATTAAAGACAATTTGGCAGAAAATGCATCAAAATTTACCCATATGCCCTGCCCAGAGTTCCTGGGAACCTGTGGCACTCTGGCTAACATGAATCAATTTGACCTTGCATTTGTAAACAAAACTGACACCCCAGAAGCTCCAGCTAAATCCCCTTGTCTTTTCTGGGAAGAGCAAGCACTTGCTAGCAGAAGCTTGTGTCTGCACAACAGTGGGAAGTGGGTGGTGCTCTAGGGGAGTCATTGAGGATGAGCTGATGTCCACACTCATTCCACATTCATGAGCACAAACTAAAACCTGGGCATCCCTGGGTGGGAACTGCATCCTTCTAGGTCCAAGTCTCACCCACATCTCCTCATCCTGTCTCCTGATTGTCTTCAGCCTGGGGCCAGCAGATGCAGATGCTCAGTGTCATGCCCATGTTTCTGTCTCCAGATTTCACTGGAAGTGTGAACATCACTACTCCAGAGCAGACAATTCAGGAAGCCCAAGGGGGAACTGTCCACCTGCCCTGCATGTTCGCCCTTGGCCCCGAGGACCAAGGACCACTGGACGTTGAGTGGCTTCGGCTTTCAGGACCTAATAATGAGGAGGTAGACCATGTGGTGAGTGTGCCCTGTGTCTGCTCAGTCTCAGGAGGCAGATGTGGCATCGTGCCTGGAAGCCCGACTGCCCAGGCTTGTGAACATGGATACAATGACTGGAGATTTCAGGAAAGGAGGGGCCATTGGATTTGTCCAAGGCTTCAGGGGACAAAAGGGTGTGGAAGTGCCATAGTCACTAGACTGTAAGAAGTGAGATCTATGTCCTCTGTCTTTGTCACTCTTGTCTCCTTCCATTCTACTGTGTTCCCAGCCTAGTCTCAAAGTCCAGACCCAGTCATCCTCCTACTTGGATCCCCCTTCTGGTCTACAAGTCACCTTACTGCACCTGGCCAGGGTAGGAGTCTAAGATTTACACGAGGCTCCCATAACCAGCAAAGGGTCACCAGATGATGTACACAGTACCATGATTGTCTGCATTACCACAGTCTGTTCTCCTCGGTTCAGGTTACTTCTCCTGTGCAGTTACTTTCTTAAAAAGCCAAGGGAAAGCTGAACGTGGTAGCACAGGCCTGCAACCCTTCTCTGTGTAGGTAGGCTGAGGCAGGATAGTTTGAGAGTTTGAGAGTTTGAGGCCAGCTTGGGCTACATAGCAAAGTCCATGCCAGCCTGAGATGCATAGTAAGACCCTACAACAAAACAACAAATAAGCAGAATTTTAAAGCCTGTAAAATATCAGTGTTAAATTATAGAAATCATATAAAAATATTGTTGTAGATGTTTTTCTTATCAAAGTGATCAGAACCAGATGAAGAACACTGGAAAGTCAAAGATAGCTCTGAGCAGAAGGATGCATGCCCAAGATCCCATTTCCAAGTACCTGTATCACACATGACGTTTTAGATGGTTCTTTAGTATTTTCTTTTATCTCAAAAGCTGCAGATTATTTTCATCTGACACATTTTATCTAAAAAATATCAATATTGGGTAGCGATGGTGGTATTTGCCTTTAAATCCCAGCACGTAGGAGGCAGAGGCAGGTAGATCTCTGTGAGTTCAAGGCCAGCTTGGTCTACAGAGCAAGTTCTAGGACAGCCAGAACTGTTACACAGAGGAAACTTTGTCTCAAAAAAATCAAAGCAAAGAAAATCAACAATGGGTTGGAAAGATGGCTCCATGGGTCAGACAGAGTTCATGCACAAGGGCAAAGAGCTATAATGAAATCCCTATGGACGTGAATAGTGGTATGTGGAAATTAATGCTGTTAGTTTCAGCTTGTGAAGGGCAGAGTCAGGAGGATGGGTGGACCTTTCTGGTTGCTAGTCTATGCCCAGGTTCAGTTTGAGACCCTGTCTCAAATGAGTAAGATGGAGAGCACAGAGCAAGACATCCAGTGCTTTCCTGTGCCCTCTGTGCCCTCACAGGCAGGTAACCACACACGTGCACACAAGTACTTTGCCTGTGTTTTGTTTCTGTTAGTTTATTTTTGCTTCCTACTTTTATTTTCTTTTAGGTTATTTTATATTCTGCAGACAAAATTTGTGATGATGTCTATCCAGATCTGAAAGGGCGAGTGCATTTTACCAGTCATGACATCAGATCTGGGGATGCATCCATAAACATAACAAATGTTCAGCTATCAGATGCTGGCACCTATCAGTGCAGAGTGAAAGAAAACCCCGGCATTGTGAACAGGAACATTAAGCTGGCTGTCACTGGTAAGTTCCTGTTGGTAGTGATGTGTGCCTTAGGTGTCTGTGATGGGAACTCACAGTACTAAAGTTACAGTGATTTATCAGACAAAACTTTTATTCTAGAGAAATAACTATACTCATTTTTGCTATGTTATGGGTGAAACCCAGGGCTCATATTTGCTAGGAAGGGACTCCAACACTGAAACACACCCCTGGCTCTAGAATAATAATTTCAAACTTTGGGGTATTTCTAATGTCCTCACATTAAGTGAGACATAAAGTGAACACATTTTTTTTCTTTTGCAAAAGAGAAAGAAGTGAGTTACTTTTTGTTGTTGTTGTTACTTCATTTTCTTTCATGCATCTGAGTGTCTTGCCTGTGTGTATGTCTGGAAGCCAGAAAAGGGTGATGGACCTCCTGCTACTGGGGTTACAGAGAGCTGGGGAGCCACTGTATGGATGCTGCAAACTGAACCCGGGTCCTCCAGAAGGACAGCCAGTGCTCTTAACCACCGAGCCATTGCTCTAGCCACTTGGTTTCTGGTTTTTGAGACAGGGTCCCACTATGCATCCTTGGATGGCCTAGATCTGTGTAGACCATGATGGCCTCAAACTAACAGAGGTCTGCCTGCCTCACCTCTCAAGTGCTGGATTTAAAGGCATATGGCAACATGCCCAGCCTATGACAAACTTTGTAAAGTCGTTGACAATTTAAAAACTAAGCAAAGGTTGTTTTTCTGCTTAAGAATTTCATACATGCATATAATCTATTTTTATAAAATCTACCCCCAGTTGGTACCTCCTTTTCTTCCCCAATCCCTCACATCCTCCTCATCTACTGGGCAGCTGCTCAGGGTCTCTATCCCTGGAGAAAACAGCCTCTCTCTCCCTGAGCAGCCATCAATTTCCATGCTTCTCAGAGGTGCACTTCATAAGTCCCCTGCCTCACCCATACTGGGATTCTGGCTAGCTTGACTTTGCAGGTTTCTGTAAGCAGGTCCTTTGTAAGTTGTTTGAACATAATTATATGTTATTCTGATTGTTGTCCTCTCTCTCTCTCTTTTAAAGATTTATTTATTATGTATACAGTGTTCTGCCTGCAGGCCAGAAGAGAGCACCAGGCTGTGTTATGGATGGTTGCGAGCCACCATGTGGTTGCTGGGAATTGAACTCAGGACCTCTGGAGAAGCAGCTAGTGCTCTTAAGCACTGTGCCATCTCTCTAGCCCCTGACTGCTGTTCTATAATGGGAGCAATAATTGGGGGTGGGGGAACATGTTGTTTGTTTTTCATGTTACTCTGGTTCTGTATTGGAGCATGTGCACCAGAAGAAAGAAGTTCGTTAGCTGCACTAACACCTCCCCGCCTCCCTCTATATATCCATGTCTCTATTTCTCTCATTCTCATGTCACATTTCCGTGTTCAGTGTAGGAGTATACGATACTCAGGAGAGGAGTCAGTTGTAAAAAGGTCGAAGCCTTGTTTTTTGTGGAACCTGTACCAAGGACTACAGCTCCTATCTATTCTTTCAAGGCCTACTACTGCCTGTGTGAGCAGACACGGTCCAAGACCCACACCCGAATGCTGCTCCTCTCCTTCTGTGTGGCTTTCCAGCTCTAGCTCCACCTTTAGTAAGCTCTGGTCAACAGAATGTTGGGATGGAAGGTCCTGAGTGGCCAGGAGGCCCGTGGGAGGTATAAGACTCTGCACATTTCTCTGACAGCCAGCATGGTTAAGAGTTTCATTGTGTGAGAAAGAACCCTGAGCCTGGACTCAGGAGAGCTGTGTTGTTGCTTTGAGCTTCTGAGTTTGCCCTGAGAATTAAATTTCTACATTTCCTCTGGCCTCAGTCTACTCTGTGTGTATGGAAACATGGAGTAGGAAAGCTGTAATCGTCAGTGTACCTGTCAGTCACCCCTCAGAGCTGCATGTGAGCACGCTGAGCTTTTGCTTTCACTGCACACAGACTAATGAGGTTTCTTGGTGTTTAGGATGCTGGGGATGGAAGAGAGAGAGAGAGAGTATGTGTGTGTGTGTGTGTGAGAGAGAGAGAGAGAGAGAGAGAAAGTGAGAGAGAGAGAGTGTGTGAGTATGTGTGTATGTGTGAGTGTGTATATATGTCTGTGTGTGTGTGAGAGAGTGTGTGTGTGTGTGTGAGAGAGAGTGTGTGTGAATGTGTGTGAGTAAGTGTGTATGTGTGTGTATGTCTGTGTGAGTGTGTGAGTACGTGTTTGTGCGCACGCACGCATGTGTTTGTGTGTGTGAGAGAGAGAGAAACAGAGAGTATGTGAATATCTATGTGGGTACACAGGCACTACAGTATGCCAGTAGATGTCAGAGGACAACTTTCAGGATTTGACATTCTCCTTCCACAGTGGCTTTCAGGGATCAAACCCAGGACATCAGCTAGCCTGACAAGCATTTCACCCAGGAAGCTTTACCTGACTTTGCCAAAATTATTACTTATTTAGCACTCATATTATTATCCCTCAAGTAAAACAAAACAGAAAAGGATTTTCAACATCATCCTTAAGTGGGATCTAAATGGAAGGCTTTTCAAAAATATGTGTTATGGCTAGAGCTATGGCTCAAGTTAAGAGCACTGGCTGCTCTTCCCAAGGACCAGAGTTTGATTCCCAGCACCCACATGACTGTTCATACCTATCTGTGACTCCAGTCCCAGAGATTCTATGCCTTCTTCTGGAATCTGTGGGCACTGCACAGGGAGTCCCCAGGGAGCCTGTGGCACTGTGGCTTCTATGAATCAATTTGACCTTGCGTTTGTAGACAAAACTGACACCCCAGAAACTCCAGCTAAATCCCCTTGTCTACATCTTCTGGGAAGAGTGAGCACTTGCTAGCAGAAGCTTGTGTCTGCACAACAATGGGAAGTGGGTGGTGCTCTAGGGGAGTCATTGAGGATGAGCTGATGTCCACACTCATTCCACATTCATGAGCACAAACTAAAACCTGGGCATCCCTGGGTGGGAACTGCATCCTTCTAGGTCCAAGTCTCACCCACATCTCCTCATCCTGTCTCCTGATTGTCTTCAGCCTGGGGCCAGCCAGTGAGTGACAGCAGATGCTCAGTGTCATGCCCATGTTTCCGTCTCCAGATTTCACTGGAAGTGTGAACATCACTACTCCAGAGCAGACAATTCAGGAAGCCCAAGGGGGAACTGTCCACCTGCCCTGCATGTTCGCCCTTGGCCCCAAGGACCAAGGACCACTGTTCGTTGACTGGATGCAGCTTACAGGACCTGAAAATGAGGAGGTGAACCGTATGGTGAGTGTGCCCTGTGTCTGCTCATCCTTACCAGGCAGATGTGGTATGGTGGCTGGAAGCCCGACTGCCCAGGCTTGTGAACATGGATACAATGATCTTAGAACACATCAGGGACAAGATGTGGTAGAAGTTCTGAAAATGTGAACTTGAACATTTGTGATAGGAAGCAAGGGACAAGATGGGTATGCTGAGTGGGCTGGGCAGCAAGGGCATGTGTGTGGAGTGTGTGTGCCAGTCATTACACTCTGTCAGAAGTCAGCTTTTAAAAAAAGATTTATTTAAGAGGGCACCATATCTCATTATAGATGGCTGTGAGCCACCATGTGTTTGCTGGGAATTGAACTCAGGACCTCTGGAAGAACAGTCAGTACTCTTAACTTCTGAGCCACCTTTCCAGCCCCCAGAAGTCAAATTCTGTGTCCTTTATTTTTGTCATGATCAAACTTCGCCTCCCTAGCTACTGGAATACAGGTGTGTCCCGTCATGTCTGCCTTCCAAATTTTCATTAAGACAAAAAGCAATTGCTCTTTTTTTTTGTGTTACATTATATAGGCCAATTATGATAGCCTTCTTGGGGGTGCAAAGAGTGGCCTGTTCTTTTTTTTTATTGTTCTTGTTTGTATGTGGTCCTGTCTAGTGTCACCAAACCCGTTTTTAGTACTAGGCTGTGTTATTTAATCACGTTGAATGTTATTTAATCACACCAGACTCTGTGTTTTCCATTTGTAATGAGAATATGGAAGCCAAAGATTTGGCTTGGCACTTAAGAGCTGGCTGCTCTTCCAGAGGACCTGTTTTTAGTTTCCAGCATCAACATAACTGCCTGTTACTTCAGTTCCTCACGACCCAGCACTCTCTTCTGGCCTTCGAGTGCTGGTGTTGGAGAACATTGTTTTTAATTAGGCAACGATAATTGCATTTGTTTATACCGCAGAATATTACTTCATCTGTTAAGGTGTATTACTTTTGTTTGTACTGCTTGTGTTTGATGATGTAAAGAGGTGTTTAATTATGTACAGATGTGTCCCATCTGTTTCACTTTGCCTGCCTAAGGCACCTAATTGGTCCAATAAAGAGCTGAAAGGCCAATAGCTAGGCAGGAGAAAGGAGAGGCAGGGCTCGTGGGGAGAGAGAGTAAACAGGAGGGGAAATCTAGGCTTGGAAGGAGACGGGGAAGAATGAGAGAAGGGGGCGAGAATGAGGGACACACCCGGACGTGAAGCCGGAAGGAGGGACACTCCTGGAGCATGAAGTCAGGCAGACACCAGACAGCCATAGAGAAGCAGTGAAAGTAAGACATGCAGAAGAGAGGCAATAAGCCCCAAATCGAAAGGTAGAGAAAGAGAAACCGGTGCCTTTAGGTTAAAAGAGCCAGCCAGGAAAGTGCCTAAGCTAAGCCGAGCCTCCAAAACTAATAATAGGTCTCTGTCTCATAATTTGAGACCTGGTTGGTAGCTCAAAAGAAGAAGGCTGTTACATGCTGGGATTATAAGTGAGTGCCACCACACCTGGCTCAATCTAAATATGATTTAAAATAGAAAAACCAAAGCTTAAAATAATAATAAAAAATAGGGTTGTGGGGTTACACCTCAGGCCACAACCAGTCCATTTTGTTTTTGTTTTTGTTTTTTTTTTCGAGATAGGGATTCTCTGCATTGCTTTGGAGCCTGTCCTGGAACTAGCTCTGTAGACCAGGCTGGCCTCAAACTCACAGAGCTCCGACTGCCTCTGCCTCCCAAGTGCTGGGATCAAAGGCGTGTGCCACCAACACCAGGCAAACACAGCAGTCCATTTTTACTTCATCATTTGGTTTTTAAGTATTGTAGGTTTCCTTGTAACGTGTTCCTTTGTTTCTCTTCTTCATTCTTTCCTCCCTCCCTCCCTTCCTCTCTCTTCTTTCTGTGTATATAATGTAGCACGCGTGTGTGTGTGTGTGAGTGTGTGTGTGTGTGTGTGAGTGTGTGTGTGTGTGTGTGTGTGTGCGCGTGTGTAGATTGCACATGTATATGTATGGGTGTACATGTGGAAGTCAGCCGTTGAGGTCGGTGCCATCTCCGCTCTCTCTCCATCACGTTTGAGAGATATGGCCTCCTGCTGAAACTGGGGCTCACTGACTGGCCAGCAAGTGCCTAGGCTTTGCAGCCCCAACCCGGATTCTAGTTGTAGGCTTACAGAATGTGAGATCATGTTTGGCTCTTACACTGGGGGTGGGGCGGTACTAGTTCAGGTTCTTATGCTTGTCTGTCAAACACTTTATTTACTGAGTCATCTTTCTAGCTCTCTTTACTTTCTCTCTTTTCTATTTCTTTTTAAATTCTGTGATAACATGGTACATATACAGATTTAACAAAAGATTTTTTTTATGTGAGTTTTTTTTTTTTTTTAACTGTATGTACTTCTATATGGCATGTACCTGCTTAGTGGAGGTCAGAAGAGGTTGTTTAATCCCATGGGTCTGAAGTTACAGGCCATTGCCATGTGGGTGCTAAGACCCAATCCTGGGCCCTCTGGAGGAGAACTACAAGCTTCTAACCCCTGAGCCATTTCCTTAGCCCATGTTTGTCTTTTTCTTATGTTCTGGTTTTCTTTTAGTTTATTGTAAATTTAGCAGACAAAATTTATGATGACTTCTATCAAGATATGAAAGGACGTGTGAAATTTACTAGTAATGACATCAGGTCTGGGGACGCATCCATAAGCATAAGCAATGTTCAGCTATCTGATGCTGGCACCTATCAGTGTGGAGTCTTTCATGGCTCTGAGACTACCAAGAGGACCATACAGCTGACAGTAGTTGGTAAGTTACAGTTGTTGGTAGAGAGCAATGGTTTGCTAACTGGGTGAAAGGTCACAGTACTAAAATCAAGCATTTATATAAGACAAACATATATTTTACAGTAATAATTGTACTTACTCATTTTTGACATGTGCTTGCTAGGAAAGAGCTCTACCACTAAGCCACATCCCTGGCCCTAGAATTATAAGAAAACGTATGAAGTATTTCTAGTGTCCTCACATAGCGTAAAACATAAAGCTGGCATGTTTTTAGCTAAGAAAAAATAAAAGGTAATTAACTTCTTTGCAAAATTCTTGAAGATTTTCAAAACAAATGAAGTCTTGTTGGGTGGGAAATAACCCTGATCTTGGACTCGGGAGAGCTGCATCATCATCACTGTCACTGTAGTTTTGGGTCTGGTTTTCTGAGTTTGCCCTGAGAATTAAATCTCTACATTTCCTCGGGCCTCCGTCCACTCTGTGTGTATGGAAACATGGAGTAGGAAAGCTGTAATTGTCAGTGTACCTGTCAGTCACCCCTCAGAGCTGCATGTGAGCACGCTGAGCTTTTGCTTTCACTACACATGGACTAATGAGGTTTCCACGGTGCAGAGCTGGGTGTTTGGGATGCCGGGGCTGGAACAGAAGAGGAAACTGATGGATTGGAGAAGCCAGTCCACATCAGGCAGCGATGTCACACCCCTGGTACCAGTGTTTTTACCCGGAAAATGGGAGACAAGCCAGGCTGGGAAGTGGTAAAATTGTCTCACTGATGGTCAAGAAGACAAGTGGGAACTCCTATGACCAAAGGGCTGAGAAGTTTCCTTTCTTTCTGTGGATTGTGTGGTTAATGTGCCCAATCTCCCTCCCCCTAAGTCCCGAAATTGGAAAGGTGATAGTTCCCAGTACACTTGAGCACCTTACTGTAGCAGGCTCCATGCAGGTAGATGGTGGTTAGTGCTCGTTGTGACAGCAAAGCTCCTGTTCTGCAACCTAAGGTCTCATGTTTTGGAGGATCCTTGGGGACACAGTTTTTGTAGGAATTTCTGATTGTCTGGTACAACCATAGACGTAAATAGTCAGTGTCCCTCCACACACACACATGCTCAGTCCCTTCTATTCGATTGACTCATCAAGAGGTGAAGAAGGGTTCCATGTAGGAGGCAGCCTCTTCTGAACACTGCTGTCATCTAGGGAGGGCTATCAGCCCAGGGACCAGGAAAGAGAAAGGCTACTGAGCTCATCCACAGGCAGTGATGGCTTATCTCCTGCTGGCAGCAGCACTGAGCACAGACCCTGCTCAAAGGCTGAGTGCTGCCAGTTAGGAATGCTTCCTATGGGGTGAAATAAGTGACCCAGCCTGAGTGACCTCACTGCTCCACACACTTTGGCATTCCTTAGTACAGTTAATTGCATTTCTCTCTTTATACTGCTTTGTGTATGTATTTTTATCACATTTATTTGTGTGTGTGTGTGTGTGTGTGTGTGTGTATGTGTGTTATAGGAGTCGGTTTCTCTTTCCATCCTTGTGTCCTGGGCATCAAACTCAGGGTGCCCTGCTTATCAACAAGTGGATACTGAGCCAGCTCTATTTGTGCTTTCCAATAAGGACATCATATTGTTATTTGCTTCAAGATTTGTTTGTTTTGTGTGTTTTCACTGCATGTATGTATGTCTGCACCACAGATATGCCTAGTGCCCTGAGATCGGAAGAGGGTGTTGGATCCCTCACAACTAGATTTATGGTTATAAGCCGCCATACGGGTCCTGGAACTCAAGCTGGATCCTCTCTGGGGCAACAGATGCTCTTAACCACTGAACCATCTCTCAAGCTCCAAGGATGGCATATACTCTTCACTGTACTATTTGTTTTTATGTTAAGGGTCTCCTTGGCTGACCTTGAATTTGGGCCCCTTCTGCCTTGCCTCCTAAGTCTTAGGATTGCATGTTTGTATCTATAAATGCTTTGCATTGTTGAGGCTGTAAAAATATTTCTAATTTTTAGCATATGTAAATTATACCTATTATACACAATTGCTTTCCCTAAAGCTAATGTTTTTCTTTTCAGGCTAATCATCTGCTCCAGAGATCTCAACAGTTGAACTTTTAGTAAGTTTTGCCAATTATTTGATACTTGAGTCTTCAATGAAATATGCCCTGTGTCCCTGCACCCCTTCAACCTCAAAAGAGCCCTTCGTGAGAATAATAAACCAGTGTCTCCTAGTTTTGTTTGACTTTGCTTTCTTCAGTTCTCCCCAATATCCTAGGGTTAAAGAATTTGGGACAATTATCTTGGAGATAGAGATGTAATTTCTCTGGATATCGGTTGGTAAGAACAAATATGGTTTGGAATTTCAAGCTTTGGAAAAAGAATCGAAGTCCTTCAAACAGCACTGTTTTAACTCCATTTCTGTGCTCGCTGGAGGAGAGGTGTAATGCAGAGAAGTTTGCTCACTGTCCCGTTCTGCACTTTCTTGCAGCGGTGACTCTCCAGTGTTGGGCTCCTGTAATCCAGCATCGGAAATGCCTTTTCCAAGGTGCTGAAGGTTTCACACTAATGTGCATATTTTGCTTTATTGGTGTATGTATGTGTGTTGTGTGTGGTGCATGTATGCATGCATATATACTCATGGAGGCCCAAAGTTGAGCTTGGTGGTCTTCAGTAATGCTCCACTTTATTTTATTGAGTCAGGTTCTCTCATCTGAATCCAGAGTTCACAGAGTGGCTGGCTTTTTACAAAGCTGGGGTTCAGTTCATAGTCCCCTCTTTGGATGGCTCACAACTGACTGTAGTGCCAGCTCCAAGGCATTCAGTGCCCTTTTCTGGCCTGGAGGGGGGGGGCATACAGATGCACATGTACATGCGCACACTGAGTGAGAGAGAGTGAGTGTGTGTGTGTGTGTGTGTGTGTGTGTGTGTGTGTGTGTGAATGAATGATGAATCTGCCATTCACTTAGGATAAACCACTGGGTTTCCCTACAGCTGCAGTACTTCACTCACAGCTTAGTAGCTCAAGCTACAGAAATTTCTTCAGTTTTAAGAGAAAAAAGTCTAAACTCAGGGACCACAGGGCTCCTGCTGCAGGCTCCAGGGGCAACTCTGTTTCTTAGTTCCTTTTGCTTGGAGAACCATTTTCCATCCTTTTGGCCAAGGTCCCGATGGCAAAGGTCCCGATGGCAGGCAGCAAAAAGATAGCTTGCTTTCTAATCCAACTGCTAGTCTGTCTCTTTATTGGGTAATTGGGATGATAAATTATTGTTCAAAAACTAGTATTAACTACCATTTTGTTACATTTTCTTAAATCTCTTTTGTTATTGTTATACTCCTATATTCTCTTGCTTGTTTTCATCCTTTTCTTTAGATCAGTGTTCGTCCCAGTATCCTCCTCAGAGGTGACTTAGTGGTTATACGTTCCTTTAACCTGTTTTTCCCACAGGTTTTCCTTCCTCCTATTTCGACTCAGTTACCCAATACCTCGACCTTGTTATTAAGCCTTGATATTCTCTCTCCCACTTAATTTGCAAGACTTTCAGTTGTGCTTTTTATTTGACTGAATTTTTAAGTTTTATTTCACTTTGGCTTTTCTTCGGAAATTCTATCTCTATTTAATTCAATTTTCATGTTGAATTGTTTCCTTTATTTCAGTACCTTCAGTCTTCATTCTGGCATTCATCCATATCCTTTATGGGTTCCTTCAACGTATTTATAATAGCTGTTTTGAAATTGTACTTTGTTTGTCATTAACTTGCTTGAAGTTTTGGAGATGTTTTATCTTGATCACTCATGCTTGTGTTTTTGTTCAGTTTTTAGTTGTGTTTCTTGATATGGATGTCTGGTTCACCCTTGTTGAGTGGGCATTTGTATTGGTTTGCTCTTATCTAATCTGACAGGTTATGGGCCACCAGCTGAATGGTGCTTGGGGCTTCCTCCGTCCTGGGGCCACTCAGTGTTTATGTCCAAATGGAGTGCAAAGGGAGAGTCCATCCTCTCCAGCACCTGGGTTTCCAAATGGCTGGTCCATTTCTCTGACTTCCCCCACTCCAGCACCTTGGTTTGCACATGGACCTCTACCCTAATACAGCTTTCTGGTGCCTGGTCCCTGGCACCTTTTGCATCTTAACTCGTGTCTTCGCTCACTTTAGTGTGGTTTCATATTATTGAGACCGTTCTCATTCATTTCCTCACCATCATCCACCAGGTTGCCAGACCTGCTGGTGTCCTGTGTTTACAAAATGAACATCTACAAACTCCTAATAGGAAGGAAGTCTACAAACCAAAGGAAGATTCTATCAAGTCTAGCTTGACAACTGAGCTTCCTGGTTTCTCACAAGAGAAACCCCCCAGGCAGCTAGAGGTAATGTTGATTGGAATCTCATGGGAAGGTCTTGTGACTCCCTTCCTCCAAGAGGAAGCAGCAGCAAGACTCATTGTATCACCTTGCCATCGGCTATAGTTCTGTTTATTTTGGCACCGTGACTGCCAAGAATCAAGGTCCATCATAGATAATCCACCTGAAGGTGTTGATGATCATGTGAACCCTAAGAGTGAGCTGCAGCCATGCACATCACTTCTCAAGCTTCCTTTCCATTACTCAGTGGTGATATGAGATCACTAACTTCCTGTTTTATACCTTCTTGCTTGCTTCCTACATTTTAGGATTTTCTACCATCTCACTCTTAGATCTGTTTTACTTCCTCTCTCGCTCATCAATCCTGTCACCTGAGGGGAACAATTTAAAAGGCAAAAAGATTTATTTTGGGTCACAATTCAGTCCAAGATGGACTAGCTCTATTTCTGGGTTCACAGTGAGGTCTTAACCACCGAGCCATTACTCATGGTTTTATTCTTAAGTGTCAGACTGCCAAGAAAGGACAGCGAGGGTGCTTTTTAGAAAGGCATTGAGTATATATTAAAACCATTTGTGTGTGTCTGTGCACATGGGGCCAGTGCTGGGATCAAACATAGGGCCTCACACATGCTAGGCAAGCACTCTCCCACTGAGCTATATCCCTAAACCCAATTATAAAATTATTTTCAGGTCTGTGCAGAGCATAAGCACAGAAAAGTAAATGGCACATAGGCATATTAATTTTCATAAACTGTCACTGGCATTCTGATGAAGAAAATTACCATCAGCTCTGAGGTTCCTTCCTAATCTGGGCATTATGTGGACTTCTAAGGCTACACATATGTAAGGGTTTTCCCTGTCTCTGAATCTTATAAAATTCTTAATGTAAGCTGGCATGGTGATATAACCTTTGTGCTTAGGAGATGGAGGCAAGATGATCAAGGTCACCCTCAACAGAGTTCAAGGCCAGCCTGGGCAAAATGAGATGACAACCAAAGTAATTCAAAACGGTCAGATTGGTCTCTAAAAAGGAAAATATTTATTCTCCGCACCAAAGTGTGAGAAGGCGAGGGAGATGGCCCAGTTGGTGGCAAGCATGAGGACCTGAGCTTCAATCTCCAGAATCCACACAGCATCCTTACCAGGGTACGAGAGGTGGGAACGAGAATCCAAGGAAGCTCTCAGCCAGCCAGCCTACCCTGCATGACACCAAGCAAGAGCCTTGTCTCACACCAAGCGGAAGGTGAGGCGCTCACCTGAGGTGCTCTTCTGACCTCCGTATGTGGGACCTGGGTGTCTGACATGAAAGACTTTCAGAGAAGAGCAGGGAGGTAAACCATAGGACAGCACTGTGTGAGTCCACCCAGAGAGGCGCCTCTGCGGCAGAGGCGCCGTGTGGTACTGTGCACAGTGGCAGTGCCCTCCTCTGATGGATGCAGTCCATACAAATGAGGTATCTTTTTCTCTTTACATGAATGAAAATGAAACCTCTTCAGAAACCCACATTCTGAATTAAATTGGAAAAAGAATTTTGTATGTGTGGACTTGGGCACACATACCACAGAGCACACATCCGAGGAAACTTCCGGTTCTCCTTCTGCTGTGTGGTCTTGGGGACTGAACTCAGATCATTAGGCTGGTGGCAGGCACCTTCCTATTAAACCATTTCTTTTTTGGAGACAGGGTTTTCACAATGTAGCCCTGGCTGGCCTGGAATTTGCTATATCACAGGCAGGCCTTCAAAATACAGAAATCAGCCTGCCTCTGCCTCCCAAGTCCTGGGCTTTAAAACATACGCCACCACACTCAGATAAATGTCAATCTTCTCACTTTTGAGTGATTTATTTTTATTTTCTATGTATAAGTGTTTTATTTGAATACACACTCAGAAACACACACATACACACATGCATGCACCAGATGCATGTCTGATATCACTGGGGACCAGAATTACAAATGGTTGTGAGCAGCCATGTGGGTACCAGACCCTCTGCAAGAGTAGCAGCATACACTCCTAACTGCTAAGCCATCTCTCTAGCACCTGAATTAAATTCTTACATGACATTATTGGATTTTTTTCCCCATGTTTTCAGGCTGAAAATGTTTGTTTTCTCTGGTTACATCAGCTGCATCATTATGAACCAGTTGCTTCAAATACAGGCCAACCTATCTGTGCATGCGAGAGACATGTGAAAACAAACACACTGTGGGACACAGCCAACAGCACCATTTTATTTTACAGTGTTTACTACAGGCAAGGTTACTGTGGTGAGATGTGAGTGGGTTTGGTCCATATGTTATTTTCCATTTGAATTAGAAACATTTTTACAATTAGTTAAAAAATAAATTTTTATGATTCCACATTTTTCTTGACCATTAGAATATTACAGTTTCAAGTAACAAAAAATAAAAATAAAAACATTGCAGACTAAATCTACCGATATGTACACAGTGGACACATTTAATTACCACAGCCATTAGGAAGTCCTGATGTCTTCTCTTCCGCTCAGAGCCCATTAACAAGCAGTCACTGGGGAAGCTCTGGGATCTCCCTGTTGTCCACAATGAGTGTGTGGATGATCCCCTCTCTTCTCTTCCCGCTGCTGACGGCTTTTATGTAACAGGCATGGTTCCCCACACTGAAGTGTGTTTCAGTGCCGTCATCTACAAACTCGCCCTAGGACAGCAAGGGAGGAAGAAATCTCTTGGTCAGGGCAGTAATATCATCTAAACAGTACTGGTCTTAAGGTCAAACTCTTCAAAATCAGAACCCACAGATTATGTTTAGAGGCCCATGATTTGCTGTAATTCCCAAAATCCCAAGGGGTCTTGGGTTTTTGGAGAAGAAAGTTCTGTGTCCACAGTAGACAATGTTTACAAAACTAAAATTGGTGAGCGCATCAATAAACAATATTCAATTCCTTACACTATCCAGCTTATGAGCATCATTCCACTGTCTTTGCAACAGTTGCCAGAAGGATCACTACTATTCTCATTTTACAGATACAGAAATTGAAGAGCAACAAATTTAATAACTTGCTGAAGGCCCGTCCAGTAAGAAGGGTTCCCACCGGAAAACCAATCTCCTCCAGGTGTAAGGTTAGCACATGCCACCATAACCAACAGCACTGACCACTGAATACCACACCCTTGACTAGTCTGAGTGAGACACACGGTTTCAGTGTGAACTACAGAAGACTCAGCATGAAACAATGCCAAGAACTACTGACTTTTTTTTTTTTTTTTTTTTTTTTTTGAGGCAGGGTTTTTCTACACAGCCCTGGCTTTCTCTCTGAAACTCACTATGTAGACCAGGCTGTCCCAGAACTCACCAGAGAGCCATCTGTCTTACCTGTCTCCTGAGTGCTGCATTAAAGACGTGTGCCACCATGCAAGTCTGTATGACATTTTTTTACATACTTATTTAAATATAAACATTTATATTGCTATTAGAAAAGGTGACATTATATGTGAGTCTCATACTTAGGGTTCCTGTAATATTTATATTTCTTGCTAAGCAACAGCAAGTGCAGGAGCACCAGAGGAAGCTTCCTGAGCTCTGAGCAGCCCCAGCAGGAGGTCTTTGAAGGATGTGTTGTAAACCAACCCAGGCCTGTCCTGGGGCACTTTGTTCTGAACCTTGAAAGCATCCTTTGGAGGGCTAGACAAAGGTTGCTAACACTCTCTCTAATTTGCTTCTGGACAATTTCACACATTTTAGTGATCCTGGGGTAAAAACAATGGTTGCTGCTCAGGAGTGAGGCAGTCTGAGCATGTGCACAGATGGCGGGCAGATTGAGCATGTGCACAGATGGGGGGCAGACTGAGCATGCGCACGGATGGGGGGCAGGCTGAGCATGTGCACAGATGGGGGGCAGGCTGAGCATGTGCACGAATGGGGGGCAGACTGAGCATGTGCACAGATGGGGGGCAGACTGAGCATGTGCACGAATGGGGGGCAGGCTGAGATAGGGAAGCTGCCTGGAAGGCTCTGCTGCTGTAGCTACAAGCAGGTGATGAGGTTACAGAGGGCTGTCTTCATAGTGGCTTCCTGCCAGTTACTAAGAATATTTAAAGTCACATGCACTTATACTGAAAACCATTACTTTGTATAGACAGCATACACTAATTATCCTAGAAACATTCCTTA